ACTCGGTCAGTACACGATGTGATGCAGTGAAAATAATGTGCCAATTTTCCTCAAGCCATCATCAGTGCCAACCGCAAGCTTTTCCAGCGCAAGTACCTCGTCTCCAGCCGGCAGCAAAGGTCTTACTTTACGTAAAATTGGGAGTGCTTATTTCCTTCAGCCCCGGACTAACACCGCACTTACTGCGTGCTGGGAACGCAAGGTAAATGTAGTTCCTCACCGGCTCTGGTGTAACCACAGCGCGGAGAAGACCAATAATCTTTGAGCTCCCAGGCCCAAAGCTCGGGTTTCACACTCATCATCCCATGAGAACTTGACTTCAATGCTTGAAAGAAAGGGGCGCAGCGATCTGAGACCGGGCTTATAAAAATCGATATAGAGCGCCGGCCATCCGGCCAGATGCTGCACGTCCTTGGCCGAGTGGGTTGTTTCAATTCTTGCACGGCTCTGATCTGAGAGGGTCTGCTTCCGATGCCTCGGTTCGTGACTAAGAATCCAAAAATTTTCCCGGGATCCCAGCGCCAACAGGCAGCAATTCGAGCGTTCAAGCGCAGCCTGTGCTTTGCTTCAGAATGGCGAACATCTCGGCGCTAATCGACAAATGGGTCCCTCATGATCGCTCTTTACCAACCATATCATCATGTAAGCCTGCCATTGTCCGGCCGAGCAAAGGACGCGAAACATAGGTCACCCATCCTTCTGCAAAGGTTGCCCGGGCGGTTTTCAAACCAAGGGCATAATCGATAGAGAAGGAGTCCCCTTGGAGTCGTTAAAAAGAGCGTGCATCTCCCTTGGTCAGGCCCATGCATGGCAATCTGGTGATTAGCCGCCAGTACGGCATCCAAGACTGGCCGATGTGTGTCTAGCCGTCAATCCACTAGCTGGTCAATGCGCCGGCAAAGGAAGCTGTCTTTCCGACAAGCTCGGTGACTGGTCTTGTAGTCGACACAAACTCGCCACTTTGCCATTTTCTTGGGCACCACTACCGTGTGGAAATCAACCCGAGGGTAGTGCACTTCCTGTATTGCTCGTGCCTCAGCAAGTTCTTTTACCTCCTCTGCTCACTACGCTCCGGCTGATGCAGCGCCCGATCTCCTTGTTCGCTGGATGACTGGGCTTTTGCCTCCAGGGAAGACATGTGAGGTGATGGCAGATAAAGCTGCGTCAAGACCAGCATGTCGTTAGGGCGACTGCAAAAGACTTCGATGTTCGCCAGCCAAAAACTCAATCATCTCGGTTCTCTCCATGGCGAGAGACCCTTGAACCGAGCCAAAAGAATCTGTTCGCTGCTCGGCATCAATCCGCACCTCAACCCAATCTCAACAGCCTTGCTCTGCTTTGGGTGCCAACATGCATCCAAGACACTCACGGTCCTCCGTCCCTCGGATCATGTTGAACGAATCCTTGGGCAGCCCGGCTGCCGTGGACCGCCCACGAAGCACTGCTTGACAGACCTTTGATCAACCCCAAATCTCGTCGATTCGCCCCATAGCCGAGGAAATCTCATCACTGTGGTAGGCGATGCTACGGCTTGCATGGCCGTGAAGCCATCCTCTTCTAAAGGATAAGTTGTACGTTGAAGCACTTGTAGCACCAAACTCCACTTGCTTTGGCCACGGATCCCTGCTTGGACCGGCAGGATAATCTTTCCCATGGCCACTCCCGGCTGCCGAGTTAAATCCCAACCAGTTGCGAAGTGGCCGAGGCCAAGTCTGTCTCGCGGATTTGAGCTGCTTTGAACGCATCATAATACATGATCTCGACCGAGCTTCCCTGATACGATCAAAGATCCGTCTAACATTCAATTCTTTGACGCTAATGTTACCTACAAGAGCATCCGTTGTCGGGTCTGATACGCTCTTAAATCCCTTGAGGTGAAACTAATCACATCTTTCTCCTCTGTTCTTCCCCCCTTTTGATGGCAGCTGACTGACAAAATGCTTCCCTCATATGCTCTTGCCCTTCTTGATCATGCCCCGAGTCACAAAACGCCCGCTCGTTCCCACGATGCCGGGATGACATAATAAATCCCTTGTGTGGTGCATCCCGGTCATTTCCTGTCCCCTGGGGATCGACCGGAGCCTGATTTGGTTTCACGCCGCCATCATGTAAAGGTCCAGATGCCGCCGCAACCAATTCTTTCCAAATGTTTGTCGCAAAGGCAAACAATCCTCAGTCCGGTGGCCCCTTCGTCCCGGTGAAACGTACAACGATTACCGCCGAGATTGACCCCTTTGTCCATCGCCAACTTAGCAGGAAACCGGACATACTCCTCGTCTCGGATTTCGCTAATATGCGATTAAGAATTGGATCTTTGAAGACCGTGGTTATGCCTGTCCTGCCTTCCATTCTCCTTTGCGTCCTCGAACGTCATTCACGGGGTAAGTCATCCCGTCATTCCGACGTCCTCGTACCCGTTTAATACGAATTTGAACCTCCGTGCGTTCCTTCTGCTCGTCATTTGAGCCGGCTGGACTCTTGCCCAACTGCTGTGCATCTGTTTGCCTGCTGTCTTCTTGTGTTTCGACCGGAGTGGCACTTCACGGTGAAGTGCTGGACGCATCAATCCTCTACTCGAGTGTGCTTCATCTGATGCGCTGCATGAGCTGGCCCATGGAGGTCGGTTGGTGCAATAGTAAGCGAGTCCGCAGTCAATGTCCGACGGGAGACACGCCTTAATATTGCGTGATTGAAGGTTGACCGGGCATCCAGGATCTCGTTGAAGGTCTCCCACTGCTTGCATTGTATGCCTTCAGTGTGTCGCACGGTTCCATCTTGACACTCAGCAAGTGGATTCGGAACTTCCTTTGGGCGTTTGTGTTAGTTTTAGCGCGTAACAAACGACTTCGGGTCCAACTGACTGCCACCGTTGTATGCTCCCAATGGCGTATAACTAGCCCTTCAGAACCTTCACGATTAAGCAACACGAGTCTCGACCTAACTACCTGGAACGGGAAGGATTTAGGCACTATGACTTAAGTCCGTCATTTCGCCTATGTCCGGCCATGACTGACGGAAGTTGGTCACATGCTATCTAGATTGGATCGGTTTTGGCGTCGTAAGCAGTGTGACTTAGCGTGAATGCCTAGGCTGGATGGACTCCTATTCCAAAAATTCGGGAGAGACTCGAGGACGGCACAGTTCTTATATCTTCACAGGATATTGGGATGAGTTGGCGGGGCTGCAAGGCTATTATTTGGCAACTTTATACTTAGCAAACTACTGGCGTGAGCCCGTGGAGATTAGCCGGCTCAGATTAGCTCGGTACTTCTCTGAGATCTAATGGCGAGGAGCGAGCACACGCCCTAAATGCCGAGAAACCCTGACTAGCAGAAGGATAAGAGTACTCGCGTCGTCGCGACTGAGTTTTGTATGTATCTCTCATCACTTGACGCGAGACTATCGGCTGGCCACCGTCCCTCGTAACTGCCTAGTTCAAGTCCGGTACTCTGAGAGTTGATGAAATGGTTACTCGATAAGTAGCCGTCCTTTTTGCTCTCGACGCTCGGACTAGCGATTAGGTCTACTTTGCGCGTAGATTTCATGATGACGTACCGCCCACCGGCTTTCGGTTGAGTAGCTTGTCCGCGCTAGCATCTGCTCATGCTACCGAGGGCGCTATTGGTGCCACTCCAGTCCCTTTCCCTTTGACTTGCCTAGTTAAGATCCGTCACTCGCTCCGCCCTCAGTCGCTTGATGACAGCGTTTCGGTCTTTAACTGCTTTCCAGTCTGCTTGGCGTGTGAGTCTTCTCCGGCCGGTCGCCGTTTTCGGAACTCCGTGACGCCCATTGGACTCCTTCCGCGCTTATCCCGCGCGTCTCCTGACTGTCCTCGCAGTGGGCGTCCGCAAAAGTCTGGCACATTTTTGGATGTGACGGCAGAGGTCCCTACTCTCCTTGGGGACTCCGGGGCGGCTGCCGTCGATGGGCGGACAACCGGGAACTCGTCGTTGTCGCATGGACGGCGATCAGATGAACCTGGAAGACAAGGTTTTGTCTGAGAATTTCCCACAGACGGCGCCAATTGTACGGGAGCAAATATTCCGGCTGCCCGTATTCTTTCTTCAAGCTCCGTCGTATCCGATCACCCGTCTGTGAAGGCGCGAGCAAATAATGGTGAGCTACCCGGCGGTGTGTGGCCGGAAAAACCCTCCGACGGTCAAGTTAGCACACACCTTAGAGGGAGTAGAGAGAAGGGAGAGTGTTTGAGTGTAAGAAATTCCTTACAGAGTGTTCGTGTGTCGCGTATGGGGGGCGCAGACATGCTTATATACCTTCTGAGCCCCATATCCACTCCCTGTCATCTCCTGACGCGTGGCTCTGCTATCCCATCTGTCAGCATAAACCATGCCATTCATCACCTGCTCTCAACTGCCTGTCTGCACAGCTGGAGCTCGGCAGCCGAGCTGCCCTTCCTCGGTCATACCATGCTTCATACCTCAAGCGCCTAACCGGATAGACACACGTGGACGACCGGGCTAGGCGGCATCTCGGCAAAGCCTAGCCCGGGCACCTCCTTTGGTAGGCCTTCCTGCCGGTCAATCAACTACCTCGGCTGACCGTGCCTTTCCGGGCGCCGGTCTCTCAGCATGCCTGGCTTCGACCGTTCTCGGACCGAACATCCTGGTCTGACCAGTCGCTTCCCGGCCGAGCAATTTCTGTACGGTCCGGGGTGGCACACACTCGGTCCAAACTCTGCCCGGCCCAAGTTTCGGCTTCTCTTCTCTGGGCGAACAGTGGATCATCTCGGCCCAATGCACTGCTGGGCTCTCAACCTGATCGGTCAATATCTCGGCCCAACCCCAGATCATAAACTACCCTCTCATTTTTGATCAAGATTTTGTTAAGAAAGAGTTGTCATATGCCATAATATTGCATGAATATCCCCTCTCTATAATAGATCATGTTGGTTTTAAACGCAGCACTTTAATCATTGTTTAAAGTACTTTCTCGAAATACAATAAAAAGTGATATTTTAAATATTTATGACTATGAGAGGGTAAAGACATTGAGTTTGGTGGGACATAATAAAAGTAGGGTGGCAATCACAACTGATATGTGGACTGCTAGCAATCAAAATAAAGAATTTATGCCTGTCATCGCACACTTTATTGATGATTTATGGACATTGCAAAGTCGCATTTTGAAGTATATATTTGTAAATTTGCAAATCATTTAAATATTTTATCTTATTCAGTTCAATTTGCATGTTATTAATACTTGTTCATGAATATTATATTTTAGGTTTATTTATATTTCATGTCCACACACAAAAGAAGTTCTTTGTGATACTTTGCTTGAGTGTATGATGGACTAGAATATTAATAGAAAAATCTCTACTGTTACTATTACTGTTGATAATTGCTCTACAAATGATGTCATGATTACCATGTTGATGGATAAGTTGAGTAATATATCGCTTTTGTTGGGTAGTACTTTGTTTCATATATGTTGTTGTGCATATATTTTGAATTTGATTGTGAAAGATGGGCTGGATGTCATACAAGTGGGTGTGGAAAAAATTCGAAAAAGTGTAACTTATTGGACAGTAACACCAAAAAGACAAGAAAAATTTGAAGAAACAATCAATCAATTGCGTAATCTACATACTAGGAAATTAGGACTTTATTGTGCAACTAGGTAGAATTCAACCTACTTAATACTTCAAACTGCCTTATTGTATAAGGATGTCTTCTCTCGGTTGAAAAATAGAGAGCCCCAATATAAGACCGTGCCAAGTGAGGAAGGTTGGGAGTTTGCTAGAGAGATTAGTGGGAATTTTAAGCTATTTTTTTTCTATCATAGAGTTATTTTCTGGTACTAAGTATCCCGCAGCTAATGTTTGTTTCCCAACTTTATGCAATATTAGGGGGACACTGTCTCAATGGCTCTCTTGTGAAATTGAAATGATTAGAACAATGGCATCAAAAATGGTGGAAAAATTCGATAAATATTGGCTAGTGATACATGGTGTTATTGAAGTTGTTGTTATACTTGATCCTAGGTATAAGATGAGTGTATTAGAGTTTTATTTTGAAAAACTTTATGGAGACAAAGCTGAAGATGAAGTTGATAGGGTTCATCAGATTTGTTATGATTTGTTACAAGAGTCTCAGCACCGACTTGGTATGGAGACTGATGTTGTTGGTGACTCTTCTATTCATCCAGATATTGTTATAAAAACCCTTTCAGAGTATGATTTATTTAATAGTAAAAAAAGAAGTAAAAAAATGAAGAATGTAAGATCAAAGTTGGACCATTATCTAGAAGACGATGTTTTGCCAAGAACTTCAGGTTTTGATGTTTTGAATTGAAGGAAAGCCAATGGAACAAAGTATCCGACCTTACAGGCAATAACTAGGGATATTTTAGCTATTCCTGTATCCACTGCTGCTTCTGAATCAACATTTAGTACTAGTGGAAGGTTAGTGAGTCCACATCGTAGTAGACTTCATCCAAACACATTAGAAGCATTGATGTATGCACAAAGTTGGTTGTGGGGCACAGAGATGAAAGATACTCATATTATTATTTCATCAAATCTACATATTATTATTTCACTTGTATTACGATGGAATAATTTCAATATTGAATTTATATTCTTTACTTTTTAGGAAATTCAACATTGGAATCGGTGGACTATGCGACTATATATGATGATGATGAGATTGACTCGGATGAGTCGTGTGCCACTTTTGTGTTAGTTGTCATCTTTTTTGTTTTAGTTGTTAACATTTTTACATCTTATTATTAGTATTGATTTTTTTTCCCCCTTTTGTTATTTAACAGGGATTCAAGTTAAAGGAGATGATGAAATTTTTGGTGTGGTTGTATCAGAGTATTAGAGAAACAATGTTGTTGTTGTTTTTGTTGTTGTTGTTGTTTTTTTTTTTTTACACAATGGATTTGGTTTTTTATATTGTAATGGATTTGTTTTTTTATTTTTTTTAATTTTATTTTTTGGGTAGCCTATCCCTTGCAAGCTGTGCTTAGGACTAATTATTCTCTTTGCAACTTGCTCAATTTTCCTTTGTGTGGGTTGTTGGATGGAATATGCTATTTGAATATGTTGAAAATATGTTAACAGATATGCGATTGACAAATTGCTATCCGTATTGGTAGATATGCTATTTGAATATGTTGATAGAAATGCTATTTGAAAATATGTTGGAAGATATCCTATTGAGTGGAGCTTAAATATGTTATTTGAATATCTTTTGTGTGGGGCTTGAATAGGATATGTTGACAGATATGCTATTTTTTAATTTGAAGATATTTACAGGTTACAGTTAATCTTTCCTTTGAATAATAATAATAAAAAAAAACTAATATGCTACTGTAATTCGGGAATTTTTCGAGGTCGGGGATACTCGATCCCCGATCAGGGGCGGGCTCCTCGTCGAGGATCAAGGGCGGGAACGGAAAATTTATCACTTTTGAGGTTCGAAGACGAGGAGTGTAGTCCCTAACCCCGCCTTGCCCCGTTGTCATTCATAAATGAATCCAACCGTGTAATAAATTTTTGAAACTTTAAAAGTGTTCAAATTTGGTTTGTTTGTTTAGGAAACAAGTCAATTTTCAAGTTTGAGTAACTTAATTTTTTTATAATGCATATATACTTATCAAATTTATATCAAAATTTGGTTTAAAGTGTGTGGGAACATTTCAATATTAAATTTTTTTTTTTGGTTTATTTTAATCACTTTTTTATGAAGAAAACCATCATCAATACCTACTTTAAAAAAAATTAAAAATTCAAATGTAAGTAAAAATATATGTGTTGGAGATTTGGTGAATGATTTGATTCTTGTTAAATATGGTGAAAAATTTCTTTCTCTTAATTTAATATAGATTTTAGGAAATAATTGGAGCCTTTGATGAAAAAAAAAGTTGAGGAAGGATTTGATGAAATTAGTTGTCTGTTTTGTTTTTAACTCCGAAACTCCATTGAATGCCAAATGTGGGCTCCTGAAAGAACATATGGGCCGTTATAAACATCGGACCACATCACAAGCTGGGGTGTTCAATTCTGTTTTTTTTTTCTTTTCTTTCTGTAAAGCCCATTCTTGAATGCCAAATGTGGGCTCATGAAAGCGTAAGGAACTCTGGGTGCTTGGGCCATTTAAATTTTTTGTGTAATGTCATACGAATAGGTCTGCATACTACTGTTTTTTTTTTACGAATAATTTCAGTTTTACTCGTTTAAAATTTATTTGAGCTTGACTCTTTTCTTGATTATTAAGTACATAAGTATGAGTTACATTTTTTGACTATATTTTGGCAATTGCAAGCTTGAGTAGACTTAAACTTAGCTTGAATACGTGCATGAACACAAATATATTAGTCAATATTTAGTTTTAATAGAATATCAAATGATTTTTTATTTATTTATTATGTTTTGTAATTGTACAAATTCATATATTGATTGATGAAATTTACTAACAACATGACCATTTTTTTATGTTTTGTTCCAAATTTTCTATATATATATATATATATATATTGTCTTAACATGTATGTTAAGGCAAGTTTGGCATGACCTAAATAATACAAAAAGTCAAAAAATCACTATCCTATTTAAGTCACATCATCTTATTTAAATCACATCACCTCTCTAACCCATCACATCAAATCCAACCCAAACCCAACCCATATAAGCCAATAAGTCAAAAAATACATTTTTTTAAAACATTCCAAACCAATCCTTAATTTAGGTATGATTTTTTTCACCTTCGAGTTGATACTTGACTCATTTATATAATCAAAATTGATTTTAGCCAAACTTGAATTTTTTAAATACTGAACGAATTGTATTCGAGCTCAATTCTCCAAACTCGACTCAAGTTTGAACTTGACTAATTTTTAATGAGCTGAGCTCAAACATCCAATCGACTAGTTTGCTCTACTCATATTATTATAAAATCACTCTCTCATAAACTGTACACATAGGTGATTGGGAAGTAGAAAAGTAACTACAACTGCATTGGGCTTGTACATGCCACATAGTTTTATCCATGAAAATTCTTGATCCTAGTGTTAATTTTCAATTAACAATTGAGGCTAAAATATAACATATAATTGCACCATTAAAAGCCCAACTGGAATCGTATTCCAAAATTAATAAGATGTCTTAAGAGATCATCTCCAAACACATGTCACAATTGCAACATGATTTACTGCAGTGATATGACACGAACACGAACACAACATAAAGTCGATACACAACTCCCAAAATTTTATATTAATATAGTATTATTATAGCACTAGTTAGGAGGGAGGAGGGAGGATGGTGGTGGGCAGCCTCCCTTTTGGGCCTCAAACTGGTGGGGGGCACACCAGAAGGAAGGGCTGGCAGCATTCCTGATAACAAGGGGAAGCAAATAAGGATGGTCCCATGCACACTCTGTCACAATCACACGCTCACCCCCTTTTTATATTTTTTTGTAAATAGTGAGCTTAGGGTTGCTAAAGCGAGATTACCATCGGTTAGAGATAATCACTTGCAAATCATGTATAAAGTTAGTCTTTGTTTGGCATTGGTTTTTTTAATTAGTCTTTTTGTGTTTGGATCTTTTTTAGCCTAGTTTTTTCAGTCTCGTTTGTTTTGATTTTTTTGACTTTAATGAAAGAAAAAGTATAATGATTATGATTTGAATAAAATATTTTATCTTATTAGTTTATGTAATCAATTTTGTCTTTTTATATTTTTTTTAATCAAAAATCAAATGGCAAAAGAAGTTTTAAATTTAAACTTTGTTATTAATAAGAGTTGAACTTAAGATATTTGTATTTACGATTAATTCCATGACTCGCTCAACTCTCGAGTTATCCATGCTTGATAAGGAGGAATCTCTCCTCCATTCTTTTGTAAGACCCAAAAAAAATTCCACACATGTGATCATTTTGTTTTACGCCTAATTGGTTAGCAATGTTGCAATTTGAATCACTGCCAAACCAATTAAAAAGTAGGATGATAAGTTTGTTTGGTTTGAATGTTTTGAATTTATTTTTTAGAAAATTAATTTATTTTTTATTTTTCGTGTTTTTTATATTCACAAATTTTTTAAAATATTTTAAACATTTTTTTTTTTAATTTTTAGATACACTTTAACATAAATACACTTTAAAAAGTATAATATTTGTAAAAGAAATTTTAAAAAATACACTAAATATCAAAAATATTTAAAAAAATTGAAAATTTAGTACATTTTTGTATTCTTGTGTATTTATTGATTTCTTAAAATATTTTTTTGAAAATATTTTATTTTTTAGGTACATCTAAGTAAGGTGCATTTAAAACAGTAAAAAAATTGTTTGAAATTTTAAAACTATTTACTAAAAATAAAAAAAATACAGAAAATAAAAAACTGAATTTTTAAAAAATTGAATC